ATGTAAAGTGTTGGGATTTTAGCCTGTTTTGGGAAGCAAATATGTGCAGGAGAGGTGTCTTACAGCAAGCTTAACACCCACTGAAAACACGATTGATGCTCTCCGTAGAAGACAGAGGTAATGGAAATATATTAAAATATTTTAGTAGTATTTAGGGAATAAACTCTTAACTGTAAACTATTCTAGCCAGTCCCTGCTTCATAGAACAGTTTGCTGCTTGGTCTTTTGTAACAGTTTCTTGTATTTTTATTTATTTTTTTATCCATAGTGCCCCAGGATGATATGACAGACCATACAGTTCTTGCTGGAGATGCTGTCCTCCTTCATCCTCAGGAGCAGGCCATGCAAATCCGAATGGCAGCAGACAGACAGAAAAAGGTGTGGCGGTCACTCAGAATCTTCGCTTCTCATAAAAACATTTTCTTTCTCTTTCAGTTACTTTCAGATTTGAAGTATTTAATGTATCCTTATGGGGGAAAAAACACAAAACATTTGTAACATGGGTATAACCTCTACACCAGCTGCTGTACCTTTTTGGCCTGTTTCTATTGGTTACTCAATTTGAGTCTCCTTTTATGTTTTAGATGGAAGAAATAGAGCGGCAGAAAAAAGAGCAGCTCGATTTGCTGGAGAGGTTGGAAGAGCAGAGGAAGAGCATAGAGGCAGAATTGACAAAAGCAAAACTCGAAGTGCAGGAAGCAAGAAGACTAGAAGAAGGAGGTCAGGCAAATGCTTGTGTTCAGGATACCCGGGAGCCAACTGCTGCAGAGCCCGAGCACTTGGTAAATATTCATTTGTTGCCATTTATTATTGTGTGTTGATTTAGAGGAGTCATTGTTTTGTTGATGTTGATTAATATTCTGCAGGGGGGGCAGCATCTATTTATCTCGACAAACCTGTCCAGCAGGGCCTGCATATTTGTATATTTTCCTTGCCATCTGTACGAGACGGCTATGATTAGGACGGCTGACAGCAACTCTGTGATTGGCTAATTTTATGTACATAATCAAAGCTCACTGTGTATGAATAGCCAAACCGTTTCATAATAGTATGTCTGAATGGCAACCAATAACAGTCTACATAATGCAAGTCTGCAAAGTGTTTGTTTTAAAACCAAAGAGTACCATTTACATTGCTGCACATTTCTGTTTTTTCTGGCATTTCTGAATTTGAATGTCCCATGGCCTAACTCTCTATACCAGCCTGAATATTTAGTGAGAAATACTGTTTGAGTGAAGTGTGTGGTTAGTGTCATGTGTTTCTTTCTGTAATCCCCCAGGATGTTGTCCCACCTGCCGTTGAAGCGAGCTGTTCCACTGAAAGTCCACACATCCAGATAATTCGGGACTACCAACAGCGTTTGTTGCAGCAAAATAGGTATGATTTTGTCATTGCTATCTTGTTGTTGTTGTTGGTTTTTGTTTGTTTGCTTGTTTTTTTGTAAATTCAAATGTTTGTGTTATATACACACAAGCAATATTTAAATACATATTTTTTTTAAAACTTTTATTTTATCTATTTATTTAGGCTTTATTTATTTCTTCTTGTTTAGGCAGCATAAGCAATCTGTAGACGAGGCAAGAAAACGTCTCCATGAATACCAGTTGTTATTGAAAAAGCGTTATTCTCATTTGTCTATCCGGGAATTTCCAACAGAAAGTCAAAATGATACAAAAGCCCCGCCAGGCCTTATTTGCAAGACAAAGGAATCCTCCCACATGGTGGTGTTGGATACATCGCATGAACAAATTGGTACATTTAATGCCTCCTTACTGCCATCAATGCCAATTTCTAGGCAATCCTCTTTACAGAGTGTGAAGCCATCTACCACAGTCTGCAGGACATCTGAATTAGTACAGTCAGAGTCGGCAAGCTTGTCTACTTCACAGGGCCAACATGTAAATGTTAGATCACTATCAACATGTCCTGTAACAGAGCAACATGGACCCAGGCCACATGCATTTACACATGAGAAGACTCCTGTAAATGTTCAAAATACAACTAGCAAGGTCTTAACTGGGATCAGTGAACTTTTGTACAATAAAGAATCTAATGAGGAAACAATTGGTGTAGACAAAGAATATCAGTCTCCTGAAGAAAGCAGGGTCAAACCACAAGACGCAGTCACACAGTCAGAAAGTCAGTCTTCCTTATCGAGCCTGTGGGACACCTCATCAGACTCGTACTATCCACTACCATCTGTGATATCCTTGGGTTTACCGCAAGTAGAATCAACTGTTTCTGATACAACTAAGCCTCAGGTGGCACCACAGCCACTTCCTTGGTCATTTGGAGACTTTTCCAGTGTCCAAGAATTTAGAGAGAGATTGATCTCCTCCACGTCACAGATTCAGTCTCAACAAGATCACTTGAAAGAATTGCAGGGGCAGCTGGACAAGCAAAGAGATTCACTTCTGTTCAAACAAAAAATCCAAGAAGAACACCTTCTACAAAAGCAGAAAGCATTGGAAGAACAAATGAGGAAGCACCAGGAGTCTTTAGAGCAGTACCTTGGTGGGACCACGGTATGCCTTTTCTCATATGAAATGCTTACAATGTAGATTTTATTATGCCCAAATCTGAGTTCTGCTGCATGCATTCACATACTTATACACATGTCTGTCAATGTAAAAGTAAAATATGTTCTGGCTCAAGGGATGTTCCAACTCTTACTGATATCATTTGTACAGGATGGGCAGAGGACTCTCCCTGATGATCTGGGTCAAATGCCGCAAAAAGACTGTTTTTCTCTCATGTCGTCACTGTTAAATGCCTTGGAGGGCGATGAAGATGTCCAGTTTGAAAATGGTAAGTTTGAGACTTATTAAGTTTTATATTAAACCACATACCAGTTTCTTGGTTGAAATGGAGCCTGGCTTGAAACTGTTTTGCTCCTCTAAAAGTTTGATAAATATATTCTATATGTACAGCTGTTTTTTTGTTTTGTTTATTTTCTTTCTTTTCTAATTTAAATAAATTTACTCCCAGCAGGTGGTTTGTTTAAAGGTCCAGGACGAGAGCAGCGCCGGAGGTCATCCAAGCCACCAGTGACTAAAACCAAATTAGGACCTATGCTCACACAGCATGAGCTAAGCGCTATTCTGGAAGTAGAGACGCCAACAAGTGGCAGATGCTCCAGTGTAGGAGCACCGGAACTGAAAAAGAGCTGGTCAGGTATAGAACTATTAAACCTTACAAATCAAAGGATGTATCTGTCACAAATTAAACACACAGTCTTAAACTTCGTTTACTTTTTTGTGCAACATAAATTCAATGGAAATTATTGGATAAATAAAAAGTACCCCATTTGTAAAACAATACTGTCTGTTTACATGTTATCCAGTTCACTGTTTAATGTTTATGCTCTCAATCTATGCATGCATGGTCAGTGACTCTGCTCTCTTTTCGGAAGGAAAAAAGCACAGCCCAGGCACACATGCTATCTTGCACACAGAAACCACACAAACCTAGAATAAAACTGATCTAACCACTCCAAATAAATGTTCTAGGGGCTGATTGACAGAAGGTGGAGATGGCCTAAGAAAACAAAATATATCTCTATGTATGTTTTTCTCTATTTGTTTGCCCCATCTATCTTAATATCGTTAATGTTATATTTTGAGTGTTTGAGGTTTATTGCAGTGGACATTTTTTTTCTATAGCCTGTGCATACTCTGAGTGTCCACCCTTTCTCTTTTCCTCGTATTAATTCGACATTGTACCCTCATGCTTTAACATTACATAATTTACATTTCCCGCAGGCCTTAAGGATCGACCTGGTGGAGAGGCATTATTAATACCGAAGGATCATTACCTAGAGAACAGCAGCAACTCTTCTCTCCTTGATCTGGATCTCTCTAGAATATCCACTAGTAGCAAAGACAGGAGTTCTAACGACAGCTTAACCAGCCAAAGAAGCCTGCCTAAACTGTCTTGGAGAGAGATTCTGTCTTTAGAAGCCAATTCATCTCAGCTTCTCAAAGACACAGGTAACAAAAATAAACTTCTGATGGCAGTTTATTTTCCTCTGATTTGTAGCATCTGTATTTCTTGCTGGGTGACTTTAAATTTTGTAATGAAAGTGTTACTCCAACCAAAAAAGTGTTTTCATAAGTAGGAACCCTTTCTGCAGCTAATGATGCTGCTGGAAGTGGAGCTAAGGGTTTAATCTGTATGCAGCTGCATATACAGACTCCCGGCACCCTGCTGACTTTAAAGCCTTGAAGTGGTTGTGGTACTCAGAGAAACCCTTTTAAATCTGTCTCTCTCTTTTCTTCCCCTCTCTTCCTCCCTTTCCCATAGACGTCTTATGGGATGACCATTAGTTGGTACTTTAGAAAAGAGTCCCAATTGGTTAACCATTGACCATTAATCCCAACTTGCTGTTTACTGAAAACAACTTGCTAAAGAGTTCTCTGGAAGATTATACCTCACAAGATAGATCTTTTAATATATTTACATAGATGAGTATGGGGGAGATGGGAAGTCTCTGCACTTGCGAGAGCCTCAGTAGTTTCTACTTTCTTATGTATACCTTTTGATTGTCTTTGGAATTTCAAAGAAATAATAGTCAATAAAAACGTTTCATAAAGAATCTTGTTTGCCATACTAGCATTATGTTTCTTTATTCAGATCAGTCACAGAATTCTGAACTTCAAACTGGTATGCCTAGTTATCCTTCTAGAGCTGGAATCGATTTCCATGTACCCTTACCAGTCCCAGATCCATCTCATTGGTTTGTAAGTATATAATGACAACCTGGCTATTGAATGATGAGTTAAACTTCCTGTCCCTCTGAGGTCATTTTTTTTCACACTGAAAAAATGGTCAATGATGAGAGAGAGCCAAATCTGATCTCCAGAATTCTATGGAGCATGATCTTTCCAAACTGGGAAGTGATACTTCTGTATGTGATGTGAGCATTTGTGGTGTGTTTGTTTCTATTTGTGTGCGTGTGTGTGAGAGAGAAATGGGATGAATGTTCTTTTACTTTACTAACTGAGCAGTGATGACAGAACTGTGGAACGGATAAAAACCATGAAGGTATCTACACTTGACCTGAGCTCAGGCTGATGTTAACCCTGTTTCAATGTTTGTTTCCATTAGATACCAACAGATTTATCTTTAATGCAGGGGTCCACAGAGCAAAGTAAGCCAGACACCTCATTCAGTCCATATGTTTTGACCCTTGAGCCTTTCAGTGACCATCTGTCAACAACCACTATATCGACTGGCAGTTTTCTAACAAGCGAGAATTCAGTTAGAAGTCCACTCAACCCAGGTTTGTGTTTTCTAATTTTATTTATTTACGATTGATCTTGTTCTTTGTTATTGCATTCATGCAGATACATCGATACTTTGGTTTCATTCACAAACTGTACTATGGTTCCACTTTGAAATAACACTTCAACATACAGCTGGAAGCATGTTGGTACCATTTGTGGTGAATAGAAAACACACATGACAATCATACACTTCATACCGAATGTGTATTCCAGACGCCAAATGGTCGGTTGTTTGAATTTTGATTATTTAAATGAACTGTATTTTATTTCTAACACTTGCTAGTTTTTCTCCTGTTTGCCCCAGTGGAAAGCTACCGCACGTGACATGGGGCAATAGATATCATTTTCTCTGAACATCTGATCATTTCTTTTGGTTTTAGAATGTATCTCTGATCTTCAGAGATGTAATTACTCTATAATAAGGCAAATGCCAGATATGAGTCCCATACCGGCTGGCACATGCTGCCCTGTTCCCTCGAGGCTGTCTGATTCCAAGAGTACAGAATCCTCACCAAATTCAGATGAGCACCGAAGCCATATCCAGCAAATCATTGAGAAATACACCAAAGATCTCAGCCTGTCTCTAGAAAGAAACTTGAGCTTTCATGGTAATTCTAAATTCTTGTTCTATATTATTTATATCACTGAAATGAAAGTCAACAGTTCCTATTTGTTTCTTTAAACTCTGCACCGAATAACATAACAGGTATCTAGAATTTTAACAGAAAATCTGTTTACCTAGCATAATATTTGATTATTGGGCTTTTTACATTTTTTTTTTTTTTTTCAAAACCATTTTTGTATTTGTTTTGTTCTCTATTAATTTAAATGTGTAACTGTAATGTATTCACTCACAGCTCCTACAGCCGCTGCAGATGTTTCTGCTGAAGATGGTAACCAATACTCCATGACCTTCCATCCACTGGATCCAAAACCAGACTTCAATATTTCTACTCCATCCTACGCACTTTCTGGGAACTCCAGAAGCTCTCAATGCAGTAACCAGTTCAGTCAGGTAGGCATTTTAATGCCGTATGGCTTTGCCCAGGATTTGAAAGGAACCCTTAAAGGGACACTATAGTCACCTGAACAACTTTAGCTTAATGAAATATATATAGAATCTCTCACACACTCGTAAATGTGTGACTGATTCTAAAATCCACATACAGTGATATAAAAATTACAATTTAAAGTGATTATAGTGAAATAAATAAAGAATAACTTCCCTTAGCAATATAGGATATGCCCGAAGAGTTCCTCCTATCTTCAATTCAGTAAGTATATGGTATAGGGCTATTCCAAGTTATGGGAATAAAAAAATACATGGCATAGTGCAATATTGTCTGTGGTAAAATGAATATATGAGTAAGTGCCAAATGTTCACTCACACTTTAACATCCCAAGAAATGTCTTAAGAAGTGTGCTTGGTGTGTCTTCTTGCTTCAATATATGATGAATATAGATCTCATATGAAACCAAAAAAAATTGAAAAAAGAAGAATAAATGGACTGTATGAATAAAGAGTAAAAAAAGCATTTATTACTTACATCAAAGTATGTAAGTAATAAATGCTTTTTTTACTCTTTATTCATACCATTTAGCTTAATGAAGCAGTTTTGGTGTATAGAACATGCCCCTGCAGCCTCACTGCTCAATCCGCTGCCATTTAGGCGTTAAATCCCTTTGTTTATAAACCCTAGTCACACCTCCCTGCATGTGACTTGCACAGCCTTCCATAAACACTTCCTGTAAAGAGAGCCCTATTTAGGCTTTCCATATTGCAAGTTCTGTTTAATTAAGATCCCCTGCTATGTTAATAGCTTGCTAGACCCTGCAAGAGCCTCCTGTATGTGGTTAAAGTTCAATTTAGAGATTGAGATACAATTATTTAAGGTAAATTACATCTGTTTGAAAGTGAAACCAGTTTTTTTTTCATGCAGGCTCTGTCAATCATAGCCAGGGGAGGTGTGGCTAGGGCTGCATAAACAGAAACAAAGTGATTTAACTCCTAAATGACAGTGAATTGAGCAGTGAAATTGCAGGGGAATGATCTATACACTAAAACTGCTTTATTTAGCAAAGTAATTTAGGTGACCATAGTGTTCCTTTAAAGAACCAGTACTCCTATAGCATGTTACAGTATCGGGCGTCTCTGGGCACAGTATATCGCTGTCAAATCATTTGTTTTGATAAAATGTAGCAGTATTCAGAGCTCACACTCCCTTAGCTTGTCATTATAATATGGAAATCTAACTTTGTACTTTGTAATTCATTCCTAGCAGCTCTACAATCGATTATAATAGTTTTAATGCACAATGTGTCCTTCTAGTATCTCCCATAAACCACTAATTAAAATATTTGCTGTTAGATTTCACCAAGCATCCAAGAAAGCTCATGCCAGCAGAGTCCTATATCTTCAAATCAACACAACAACCAGAGCACCATTTCATCTCCTGGTCTGAGGAGTTCTCAGAGTGTGGAATCAGTAGCAAAATCACCCACAGAAATTAATCAGACTTTAGGTATGTGTACGTAAAAGATCAGGCTTTTATTTAATGTCTCATTAATGTTGCTACATGGATTTATCATCTATTATCAGAAAAGGAATTGAAATGAAAAATGAGCAATGATGAAACATTCTATATTGTGAGCACAATGTGCAATGACACGTTTTACACTTGAACTGAGCTCATGTATTCTTTTTCTGTGGTTGTGTGGTGTGTGTTTTCATTTTGTTTTTATGCATTCTGTAAGTATTTATTTGTGTTTTTTATTTGTCTGTTTTGTATGGATTGCTTGTTTTTTGTTATGATTGATCGTGTGTTTCTTTCTGCTTGTGATTAACTGAGCAGTGATGACAAACCTAGTAACCTGATCAAAACCGTGAAGGTTCCTACACTTGACCTGAGCTCAGGACTTCGGTTTTGAAACTGTCTGACAATGCAGAAGTGAGTAAATATAATAATCTTTCATTTGTTTCCTAACATACTTAGATTCCTCTGCATCATTCCATCCACTTTATCCTGAAAGGACATTAAATGAGACCAATCCAACGATGGAGAATGAAGAATCTTCTGTTTGTGTATTGAGTAATTTAAGCACAAGGACATTGAATCGAGAAGGCCTATCCACTTCATCTGAGACTCCTCAAGAACAGATCCCTAGATATGGCAATGTAACTCCTCCTTCAGTTGAAATCCTTAGAGGGGGTAATGAAAATCTGATTGAAGACCATGGCTCTTTCCATACCTTATTAGCCACACAAACCACTATAACTGATTCTGTCTTGTCTGAACACCCAATTACTGATTTATCGGTTAAAAAGAATGGATCACCCTATCAATTTAAAGAATTTTACACAAATAAAGACCTTAAAGTGGACAGATTCACAGAAAGAAACTATATACCTGACCAAGAGAAATGTGAAAGATCTTTACATCTCAAACAAAATTTCCCTCCCAGGATCGCATTGGTGGCGGAATGCGATTCTTCAAGCCAAACAAAGTGTGAGAGATTTTCAGATGGAATTCACACAGAATCTTCTATCAATAATTCTTCAGTCAACCCTCTTACTCTTTTTCCCAGCAGTTGTTCTACCTTCTCCTTGGCAAGCCATATTAGTGAATGGGTGAGAATATTTCTTCATTCATACAAAGATTACGTATTTAGTTTGAAATTGCCTCATTTCTTGTTCTTCATACTACAGAAATTTTCTTTTGTATTAAAGCTGGGCTATCTTTGTTTGAAGATGTCATAAAAATCATAATGTGTACTATATAGCAAATGCATGCCACGATGTCTTGCAATTGGAATAAAAATTATGTGCAATACTGCGTTTACTTCTAGTATATAGAACTATGTTAAAGGAACACAATTGGGTCAGGAATGCAAACGTCTATTCCTGTCCTTATAGTGTTAAAAACACGTGGCCCATTAGCCCCCTTAAATAGAGTAAAAACTTTTATTTATGCGCCGCGCCTGTCCGCTGGTGCTGGCCCCATCTCCGATCTGCCCCTTTGGCTGAGATTATTAGACTTGATGATCTCAGCCAATCCAGTGCTGTTCCATAGGAAAATTTATTGGATGAGCTTGTCAGTTTTGATGACCTCATGCAGGGAGGCGGGGACAGAGCCAAACGCCACCCTGGTCAATCATTGATTCAATGTATCTCTACGGTGAAAGTTCAGCTTCTATCAGTCTGAGTGACTGCCACTTGAGGTGTCCCTTGGAAGCAATGTAAACACTGCCTTTTTTTCTGAAAAGGCAGTGTTTAAAGTTGGTCCCTGCAGGCTTTTTGCTGTAATTATCAAAACAACTTTATTAGGCTTTAATTGTTCTGGTGACTAATAGTGTCTTTTTAATATTGCACATAACTGCACTATATTTGTTTTTGTTTTTTTCCAATTTGACAATTTTTATTTTATCAAAGAACACAATTGAGGGGTACAGAAAGGAAAAAGGGGGAGGGTACGCAGGTATAGTGCATTGTTCTCATACACATATAAATCAAGCGAATCATCATATTGCACAGGCCGGAGCCAATCAGTGGTCTTCCTTTTTTTCCCCCTTTTTATTTTAATTTTTTTTTTTTGCAGTTTGGCAATTTTCGGTAGGGACACGTGGTTCCAGGGAGAGACTAAGGATGATGGGATTGTGTGTATATATCAGTATACCATGCTGGTGACACCATATCTACTCTAGTCTTTCGTGTCGTCCTGCTATAACTGCCTGTACTGCTTGCGGTGTCTCAGTAGGAGGGGGAGTACAAAAAAAAACCAAAAAAAAAAAAACCCTGCGTGGGGTCTCCTGTGCCGTGTAGGTGATGTTTAGAGGAGCCGTTGACTGCGTAAAGGGCTGCCTCATCCCTGAGCGGCTGCCCATTGGGGAAGAGAGAGGGTGGAGGGTAAAAAAAACTAGGAAGTCGGTATGTTCTTGCGATTCCGCGAGTGTCTGGTTAAATCTAATTATGTTGTTTTGAGCCTCAACCTGTCCCTCATAGTCGTTCCCTTTTGGTTCTATATATGACATCCACATTGCATGGGCTGTGGTGCAGCCTTTTCCTATTTATTTTTTTCCATATATGATTTTTATTGAAATGTCATTGAAGTGGTGCATCATAGTATGAATTCAGGTTAAAACAACATGCATTGATTTTATCACAGTTGTCTTTAACATTCAGGTACAGAAAATTGCAATTTTTTTTTTTTTCTTTGATGATGGCATCAGTTGACTTCGGATCAATTACCCATGAATTGGCAATGTGCAGTCCACAATTCGACATTTCAGTTTTTATTATAACTTTGAGGGATAATGGGAAGGGATACAGAAAGGAAAAAGGGGGGGAGGGGGTTGGGGGAGGAGGGGGCGCATGAGTTCACTTATGTACAATCTGGTAGTCATGCATATTTTGTACCTTGAGTTGTGGACGTAATGTCATATTATTAATAATAAAGCCTGTGATAGTGACCCACGCTTCGTTTTTAACCTCCGTGCCCTCTTATTTGGTTAACCAGCTACCCCATTCTTCCTCAAATTTTTCCCCTCGGCCTTGAAGTCGGTAGGCCATACGCTCATAGGAGCTGATTACATCTAGCTTTTGTGTAACTGCCAGTATAGTGGGGGGGGACTTGTTTTTCCATAGTGAGGCTATATTGACCTTCACTATTGTGAGTATGTTGATAATTACTTTCCTATGGGGTTGTCTCCTCAAGTCGGGTATCATGTGTAATAGGCATTGTGATGGTGTGCATGATAGACTCATTTGCGTAGTTTTTAATATTAGTGACCGCACTTGTGCCCAGTAAGTGTGCAATCCCGGGCAGTCCCAGAAGATGTGTAGCATTGACCCTTTCGCTCGTTCGCATCTCCAGCACATTTCCGATGAACTTTGGAACATTTTAGCCAGCCTCTGTGGTACTAAGTACCACCGCATGATTATTTTACAGTATGCCTCCCACAGTGTTAGGCTTCTGGATGCTTTTTTTGTCCATGTCATGGCCTCATACCATTGGTCCATGGGAAATGTTGTTCCCAAATCTTTTTCCCACTGATGCATATAAGCTAGTTTTGTTGGAGATGAGGATGGGCCACCTAGGATGGCGTTGTAACAGAGAGACAAAGCTTTTGATTTTGTCGGTGATAGAGCACGATTAAGAGTCAGAGTTGCTATTTGGGTGTTTGCCCGGAGTTTTATTAGTTTGGTTGCCAATATATTTTTTATCCTTAGGTATAGGAATAGGTCTCTTGAGTCTAGAGAATACTGCCTTTGGAGATTAGGGTATGGTTTGACATTGTCTTTCTCCAGTAGGTCCTGCACTGAGCGTACCCCTTTATCTGTCCAAGTTTTTACAGTTAGGTCTGGGGATAAAGCCGACAAGGCTTCTATCGGGGCCTCTCTCAGCAATTTATCGGCGGGCAGTAGTGTTGGGCTCCAAGCTATCCAGGAGGCTAGTAAGAACCGCGTGCAGTGTAGTGGCCCTATACTCGTCACTCTGGGGAAGCTGTTGACCCACAAGGTGTGCGTTATGTCGTAAGGACGCAGACATGCGTTTTCTAGGGGCAGCCATATAGGGTGATGTTTTGTCAATGTAGGGTTTAAGAGTCGTATCCCCTGTGCCAATACTGTAGCTCTGTAGTACGCCCTGATGTCTGGAAGTCCCAGGCCCCCTTTTATGTAGGGGAGTCCCAGTTTGTTCCTTGCTACTCTGGGTGGTTTTCTCTTCCAGACATGAGCGTTTATCACGCTTTGGAATCTGTTCACCAATTTGTTTGGTAGCGCTATGGGTATCGTACGAAAGAGGTAGATAATTAATGGAAGAATCATCATCTTTAGCGAGTTTATTCGTCCTAACCATGAGACGTCTAAAGTTGCCCACTTTCCCAAGTCCCGGTCAATGCGTCGTAGTAGCGGTATATGATTCTCCTGGGGGAGGGCTGGAACTGTTTTCGTCAATTGTATACCCAGGTAATTCAATGATTTGTCTCGCCAGTCAAATTGATATAAGCCTTTTAGGTCCGCGAGTATGTCGTGTGGGAGGTTGATTGGCAACGCCTGTGTCTTAGTGGAGTTGTTCTTGTAATAGGATATTAAACCATACGCTCTCAGTAACTCTAGTAAGTGTGGGATAGATGATTTCGGCTCTACGAGAAAGAGGAGAATATCGTCAGCGAATAGGGATATCTTTTTGGGACCTCCGGGCGTGTCTAGACCCTTGATTTGGGGGTTCTCTTTGATGAGTCGCAGTAGGGGTTCTAGGCATAGTATAAAAATGAGCGGGGACAAGGGGCATCCCTGACGTGTGCCGTTCTGGATGTTAAAGGGCTTTGAGAGAAAACCCGTGCTGAATACTTTGGCTGACAGGGTTTTGTAGAGGGCCAGAATGCTGGAGATGAAGGGTGCTGGGAAACCTATTTTAGTCAGTATCTGTTCCATGTACCCCCAGTGTAAGCGGTCGAACGCTTTTTCCGCGTCCAAAGCTAATATCAGTCCTTTTTGTGAGGTGCGGTTTGCCCAATCAATTAGGTTGATAAAGTGTCTGGTGTTATCCCCTATTTGTCTCCCCGGCACGAAGCCTGCTTGTTCATCTGAAATTAGATATGTTAGTAGCGGTTTTATTCTACCTGCTATCAGTTTGGCATAAAGTTTTAGATCCGCATTAAGTAGGGAGATGGGCCTGAGATTAGCACATTGTGTTGGGGGCTTGTTGGGTTTGGGAAGTGTCACTATGAATGCCTCTAGCATGTCAGTCGGGAGATGCCCTGTTTGTTTGATTGTGTTGAAGAGCCGTGTGAGGTGCGGTGTCAGTTGGTTAATTAATTTAATGTAATAGTAGTTAGACAGGCCGTCAGGACCTGGTGATTTATGCGCGGGCAATGATTTTATCGCTAACCTAACTTCGTCTTCTGTGAACGGT